CCAACCATCATCCACGTTCCTTCTTCTCCCATTGCTCATTATTTGTTGGGCATATAGATTTGTTTGCGTAACTACAATGTCCCAGAAACTGTCGTCGAACACAATAAAAAATAAATCTAATAGTCCGTCATGTGTTTCTAACTGATCTAAAACATAGTCTTTTACACCATGAGAGTCGGAATATTCCCAAATTTTAATAGTGTTATCAGTTTCCTTCCAATTCCACTTAACACTCAAATCAGGTCTAGGATTTTCCTCTTCATCACTGTCAGATATAATTAATCTTCTTGCACGGTTTACCACTGGCACAATGACGCTGCTGTCATCAGAATTTTCATTACTGTTTATGACTATTTCTTCTACTCTTTCACTACTCTTACTTCCCCGCGAAGTACGTGCTTTTTTACCAATTTTACTTCTTTTCTTATACATGGTGATGGGCTTGGTAAGATTATAAATATTGAAGAATAATACGTTCTGTAAAGAAGGCTGTTTGAAGCGTATGCACCTCGTACAACGAAATGGTACAAACTGAAGAACGACTGAAACTTTCTTGGTCTCGCCGAGTGCCCATGTTTATTTAACTTAGAGATGTTATCTGTACCGCGAAAAGGAACACGATCCCCTATCTAAATCGTAGCCTATATGGGGACACAGAATTCCATTCGAGATAATCATACTTGGCCCGATATTAGGACCACGAGTCAAACTCGTGATATTCAAGTTTGGCACAAAATTTTCATCACGAGTCTGACTCGTGAAAGTAGTGCAAGGGGTTAAGGTAGAAATATATGAGAACGCTGACAGGAACATAAGTATAACGTCCGTAGTCGTAAAAGTCGAATTTGTTCGTTTTTTTCCTTTTTCCGTGTAAATAAAAAATTTGTTTCAAATTCCACAGATTGAATTGAGATTTATATTCCTTTGCTCTATTCCTATTCTCGTATTTTTGAATTACGTCGAATCCCGTTCCCTTCTATTTTTCACAGTGAATTGATAGGAATTAGATTTTGCTTTTTTCATTTATCGCCAATGGAATAAAGGGCAAAGGAAATGTCAGATCTTCACTGTAATAAAAATTTTCAATTTCAATCAGTTCCAACCTTCTTAACGGGTATTCATCAGTAACTATGCTCATATTATATGGGTAAAAAGGTACAGAATAATAAGACTTATACTTTTTTATCAAAAGCGTAAGCGCACGAAACAGGTACTGACTTCTAAATATACTGTTGGAGAGTAATTCTTCTTCTGATTGCTTCTGGGCCATGGTATATCTTTTATTTCTTAGAGTATAACAAATATAAAACGACGTAATCATGGGAAATGCATGCAAATCAATGTGTGAGACATCCATACAACGAAACAATAAATCCCGCAATATCGCGGCGCCTGCGCTGAAGCGATAGACCCAGAAACCCGCATTATCGCGGAGCCGGCGCTCAATGTGTTAAGATAAGCACTCATAATTTTATAAACGAAGAGTCAGCGCCCGACGAGCCTGATCACCACAGTTTTACAACACATTGTACGTCTAGAGTAACGTAAAATATATAATACTGCTTCTTCGCTTTTATACTTCGCCCTGCTTTCGCTTTGCTTTAACTTCGGGTTCTCCAACTTATCCATTTCCCTGAGATGCGATCCACTGTATTATAATCTTCCTTTCTCATATTTTACTGGTTATATAAAAACCAGTTGGCGCCCTATAGCAATTTAATATATTTATAAGCCCTGGCAGCCACGGATCAGGCCGCGCCAGGTGAGAGAATTTTCTTTTGTTACGTGGCGGCCGAGCGGATGCGAGACCGGGGAAATTCGGGCAGGGATTACCTCAATTTCGCGCGTAAGGAATATATTAATCTTGCGAGGAGATTGACCCAAGCGGTTAGATCAACTCCTCTGGTGGGATCTATGGAAGTGAGGACTGGAAGGGGGTCTGAATGAATGGCAATGTGGACTAGTATCCTATGATTGTTGTATGTATTCATCAGTGAGATTTAATTTATAATCAGCTGAGAGGGGCACCCGAGGTGTGTTGATCTAATTTTCTCTGAGTTGTTATACTTCCGCGTCGTGGGGGTTCGGGTGTTGCGATAACGCCCTTTAGCGGCGGTAAGTTACTGAACGCCGGAGTGCTGACGCGGCGATTCTTTGCTGTTAGAATGGCGGACTACGCGTGCTTCTATCTCGCGATGCTGAGATTTCGAGCTCAGCTGTTTGAAGGAAGTTAATGGAATCTTTTTCTATCCGGTTAACCAGAGCAAGTCATCGAAATCGCGATAATGGTTAACATTCGGTTTAATCGGAGATGGGGGGTTAAGAAGTAAACTAGAATGGAATGAAGATGAGTCGAGCTTGCAAACGATCCTTTACCTGGTTTGATCAGCGGCCGAATTCGGTGACACTCTCCTTTGATAGATCCGGTCGAATGACTGTGCGTGGACACCTTCGTCCCGTTACGTGCCCTAGGATTGGAGGTCTCCTAGAAGCCTCCCGTCTAACGGAAGTCGCAGTGCCGCCGTCTGTTCCTGACTCGGTGCGCTGGGATCGCTGGAGTACCGGATGGCACTACTGCTGCTCGCAGAATAGATGGCCTTCGACAGGGAGTCCGGCGGTCTTGGTCTCTGACTCGCTAGGAACGAAGTACCGAAGATCAGAAGCTCCACTCGAGATTGTCGACGGACGTCGACGTCGACTAACTTGAAAGAACTAACTGGACTAACTGCGTTGATTGAAGGCTGGTTTTATTGGCAGGGTGTTCCAATTGGTGGGCGGTCCTAGGGCCCTGGTGAGGGAGGTGCTTCTGTGTCGTGCTGACGCGCTGCATGGTCATCAGGTTGTTTGCTTCGAGTCGATTGATAACTTTTGAAGTCGCCTTGGCTGATGAACTTGTCATGTCAGGTATTTTAGTTTTAGATTGTTTCGCAAGAATTTCGCGTTTCCGTACTCGGATTTCCATGGCTAGCTTCCGGTGTTCAGAATATGGTTTTCCCTAGATTAGAATACTGATGCTGCCTACATAACACTTTTAACAATCAGTAACAAGAGAAAAATCTTCCTTTCGCAATATGAAAGTTTCTATGCAAGTTGGGTCGTTCGATTTCAAGCTTTCTAACCGATGTCAACAGAACATGTGTTTTTATAATTTGTTCATGAGAAAAAATTAAAGCTCAGTCACAGAAACCGGGAACCTGTTGAATATCATTTCTATTTTACTCTAACAGGTCAATGAACATTAAAATGGACGCAACTTTTAAGCACCTTTCCATCGGAAACTGTACTACTAGGTGCTGCTTCATAGGTGATCTTGAATTATTTGGCTGAAATCTGAAGGCATCTGTAAACATTGTAATGGTATGCAGTTTGATCCGTGCCTATGCACCGAAAAACTGCATCCTTCGAGGGTTCGAGCCTCACGACTCCTGAGACCGAAATTAATTAGAATTCTAAGATATAAAAGAAAAAAGAAACTGGTGAGAGAGCGAGGAGAGCGTTTCACGAGCGATCAGTTGAGCGCGTCAATATTCCGGATTTCGGGAGGCCTGTCCGCGAGAACCGGTTCGAGCGAGTTTTTCTAACGCTAAGCGCTCCGGCGCCGTCCGGTCTAGAATAGAATTCGGCGATTTAAATTTCTGAGAAGGTTCCGAATTTTCGGAACCTTTAATTTAAATAAGTGCAGTCCTAATTGGATTAAAGGGGTTTTCCCTGACTCACACGTTCTGATAACAAAAGGAAAGGAAAAGGAAATGGAAATGATTCTCAGTGAGAACGACTTATTCCATCATAGGTACGTTGTACTCGTTCATCATAGAATTCACATGGAATGTGGAAACATGGGATATAAAGGTTATTCGGATCGGGTGGTTTGGGGTAGTATTCAAATTGGAATTAACAACCGTCTCCGCGTCTATCCGCGTTCCCCTTCCCCACGTGTCGAGTTCTTACCGACGCGTTTGAATTAAAACTTAGCCGTTGGTAGGGTCGAAATACAAAGTTGTTGGTTTACAACTGAGACGAAAATTTGAGACCTAATTGGGGCGGCTGATCAGCCTTAATTGAAATAATGTTCTAACAATTGGCTTCGCGGACTAAAATCAACCACGGATCTATGTGTCATCCGGAATTAATTCCTCCGGGTTTTAGTATTACTTAAAGTATGTTATCCAGCCGCGGATATTAGCTGGGTTAAGCTTTTGTGGGTTACGAATTCTGCTGTCAATCGCGACGTGCGATTTGGAGGATACGAGGGTAGGATTTTTATAGACAGGATTTTACTAAAATAGGATGTGGGTGTGGTCGATATGCCAGGCCCACTGGAACACAGGACCTGAAAATAATCGAATCAAACGCATCCGTTCTTATTGAGAGTTTCGTCCGTACTCGAATCGTGATCGGCAATGCTCGGTCATCGAGTTGGGATGGATCTCTAAAGAACGACTTCTTGTTCAGAGAACTGTCCGGCTCGGATCGTGGGCGACAATGCTCGGTCACCGAGGGACGAACAGTTTCTCAACTAGGTTATTCCGCGGTTTTCGAATACTTCCACACAAAAATTGGCTTTAACCCCTTGCACTACTTTCACGAGTCAGACTCGTGATGAAAATTTTGTGCCAAACTTGAATATCACGAGTCAGACTCGTTGCTACAATTCCATGCCAAACATGAATATCACGAGTCAGACTCGTTGCTACAGTTCCATGCCAAACACGAATATTACGAGTTTGACTCGTGGTCCTAATATCGGGCCAAGTATGATTATCTCAAATGGAATTCTGTGTCCCCATATAGGCCACGAATTAGATAGGGCATAGTGTTCCTTTTCGCGGTACAGATAACATCTCTAAGTTAAATAAACATGGGCACTCGGCGAGACCAAGAAAGTTTCAGTCGTTCTTCAGTTTGTACCATTTCGTTGTACGAGGTGCATACGCTTCAAACAGCCTTCTTTACAGAACGTATTATTCTTCAATATTTATAATCTTACCAAGCCCATCACCATGTATAAGAAAAGAAGTAAAATTGGTAAAAAAGCACGTACTTCGCGGGAAAGTAAGAGTAGTGAAAGAGTAGAAGAAATAGTCATAAACAGTAATGAAAATTCTGATGACAGCAGCGTCATTGTGCCAGTGGTAAACCGTGCAAGAAGATTAATTATATCTGACAGTGATGAAGAGGAAAATCCTAGACCTGATTTGAGTGTTAAGTGGAATTGGAAGGAAACTGATAACACTATTAAAATTTGGGAATATTCCGACTCTCATGGTGTAAAAGACTATGTTTTAGATCAGTTAGAAACACATGACGGACTATTAGATTTATTTTTTATTGTGTTCGACGACAGTTTCTGGGACATTGTAGTTACGCAAACAAATCTATATGCCCAACAAATAATGAGCAATGGGAGAAGAAAGAAAGTGGATGATGGTTGGTTTCCAGTCACCAAAGATGAGATGTTGGCTTATTATGCGTTGTGTGTTTTGATGACGCAAGTCAAAAAACCTAATATACAAATGCATTGGTCTAAGCGGGAAGTGATAGAAACTCCTATATTTGGGAAAGTAATGCCGTTGAAAAGATTCACTCAAATTTCGCAAATAATATAACGGACCACTGCAACGACCGCCTTCACAAGATAAGACCAATTGTCAATTATTGGAGTGACAAATTTAGTAAGATTTACACACCAGATCAACATATAAGTATTGATGAGTAATTAATGCAATATAAGGACCGCTTAGCATACAAACAATTTAATCCATCCAAACGAGCCAGGTTTGGAATAAAAATATATAAACTATGTGAAGCAAAAAGTGGATTCTGCAGCAAGTTTAAAATATATATTGGCCAAGATAAAATTAACCCAAATGACAGTGCATCGGAAAATGTTGTAGTGGAATTGACAAAACCGGTAGTAAATAAAGGATACACATTGTATATGGACAACTGGTATTCCTCACCCGCTCTCTTTCTAAGATTGCACAATCAAAAGACAAATGTTATCGGCACCGTGCGTAATACCAGGAAAAATATGCCGAAAGATCTTGCACCAAAGAAATTAAAACCAGGAGAATATCTATACAGAGCCTGCAATGGGTTGTTAGCTGTAAGATGGAAAGATAAACGTGATGTTTATATGTTGACAACCAAACATGCATCTGTAGAATTGATCGAGGTGAGGGACAGACACGATAGGACCAAATTGAAACCCAATTGCGTGATTGAATACAACAATGGAATGGGTGGAATTGACCTCAATGACCAAATGTTGGCATGTTTCCCCATTATGAGGAAATATCTTAAGGGTTATAAAAAACTCTTTTTTTACATGTCCGACATGGCTCTATTTAATACATTCATCATAAAAAACAATTACAAGATTTAGGAAGACAATCATATGTGAATTACAGAATAGATATAGCCGAGGCAAATTTAAAATATGTTCAGCTGCCTGACTACACAAGACGCTTGGTATCTGCAGGAAGTGAAACACCAACAGGCACAATATTGGGCTCATTTCGCAAAACATATTGATCCAACTACTGCAAAGCAACATCCAACTAGGATGTGTAAAGTGTGTTACAAACACAATCGACGAAGTGAAACGACGTGGGAATGCTCAAAATGTAAGGTGGCCTTGCATGTACCGAACTGTTTTATAACGTATCATACCAAGCAAGATTACTAATTTTAGGCTCGTAAGTATTTTTTAACTTAATAGTTTATTGATATTTAATTGTTTATTTGTATTTTTGTTTTTCATTTTTAGATCTGGTGAAACTGATATTGATTTCATTTAAAATATTACTACCGTGGATTTGCTTTCACTTATACTTACCCCACTATTATTTAATCATATTATTATTACTTATACAAAATTTGTTTCAATGATATGTAATAAATAAAGTATTTCTTAAAAGTTTTTGATTCAAATTCATTTGAATTTCCAAACACCTCTATCGCGTATAGTAAATACGAGCGGGACTATGTAACTTGTCAGTCGTAATGTGTCGTGTTTCAAAGTGCGCCACTCGAACTCCGCCCCTCCCCGCAACCATTTTGGCGTAGTGCAAGGGGTTAAGCGCGATCGTGTGTTTCCGGCTAAGTCCCACCATTTAGGAGCTTGAATTCTCACGATCTCCGAAGACCTGATCTAAGGGAGCGCTCCGTCCGCGGTGCTTCGCGCTCGCGGTCCCTGGCCACCGCTCCCTGGGCCTCCCTACTTAGATGCAATCCTTACTGCGCATGCTCGAATAGCACCGAATTAGTATCCTAACGTACAGTGGCTCATGTTGGCCGCTTGACCCGTTACAATATATTAATAAATTGAAAACCATCAGTTTATAACTCAGGTAGGCTCCAAAAAAGGTAACTGACTTACCAATGTATAGTCGATACATGATTGACATTGAGTCAGCATCGATTAACTATTGATTTCTGATTAGGACTAGACTTTTAAATACGTATAGCTTGCGTATCCAATTCAACATTTTATATCAATTCCACAAATAACAGTTTGTTAAATATTTAGAAAAGGGGTTTTCTTAATTCAAAGGAAATCTCATTTAAAAAGTAACAGCTTAAAATTTATCTTTCACCCCATTATGACATTTATTTAACGAATTATTAAATACATATTGTTCTTACCGTTTTCAGCCCACAAATATTTTTTTAATTGTGACGGCAACATCAGAAGCAATCACGAGTCTACCACTATATCAACCTTGGACATCCGCTAGACTTATCAATGGCATATAAAGCATTATGTATGCCATAACAGCCGATGAAATCGTTTATAGGCAAAATATGATCTGTCTAAACATATTTTTAGGAGATATAATGAACAAACCCGAAGTTAAGTCAGCCTATGGTATTTCATGATTGTAGTGTTACGTAGACACCCTCCGAACCCTAACTTAGAGAAAAACCCATTTTCCGATCACCGGGAGCTAGTCATGGATATCCGAATACAGAAACGCGATTAGGAAACTTTCGCGAAAGGATCCAATACTACATCACTTGACACAAGTTTATCGGCCGAGACGACTCCAGACGTCATCGATCGACCCGGGGCGAACAACCTGATGACTACGCAACACGTCAGCACGACCCAGAAGTGCCACCCTCACCTGGGTCCTAGGATCTCTCACCACTCAGAACACCCTGCTAATAAAACCAGCCTTCAGATCGGGACGACTAGTCATATTCGAGTGTCATATCGCCGGTCATTCTCCACGTCGACGTCCGTCGACAACCTCGAGTGGACCTCCTGGTCCTCGGTACTCCGTTCCTAGCGAGTCAGAGACCGAGACCGCCGGACTCCCTGTCGAGGGCCATTATCCTGCGAGCTGCAGTAGTGCCACCCGGTACTCCAGCGATCCAACAACCGAGTCAGGACCAGATGGTGGCACTGCGACTTCCGTTGGACGGGAGGCTTTTGGGAGACCTCCAACCCTAGGGCACGCCACAGGACGAAGGTGTTCACGCACAGTCACCCAGCTGGGTCGATCAAAAGAGACTGTTGCCGAATCCGGCCGCTGATCGAGCCAGGTAGAGGATCCTTCGCAAGCTCAACTCATCCTCATTTCATTGTAGTTTACTTCTTAACCCCTCATTTCCGCCCAAACCGAATTCTCACCATTATCGCGATTTCCATGCCTTGTTCCGGTCAACCGGATGCATTAAGAATCCATTAACTTCCGTTAAACAGCTGAGCTCGAAATCTCAGTATTGCAAGACAGACTTGAATCACGCGTAGACCGCCAGTAAGCAACAAAGAATTCCCGCGTCAGCACTCCGGTGTGCAGTAACCTTCCGCCGCTAAAGCGCGCTATCGCGACACCCGAACCGCCGCGACGTGGAAGTACAATAACCCAGAGAAAATTAGGTCCAAGCACCTCGAGTGCCCCTGCCAGCTGATTGTAATTTAGATCTCACGGACGAATAAATGCAACCATCATATTATACTAGCTGTATTGCCATTCGTTCAAACCCCATTTTTAAATGTTATGCAATACGGTTATGCAATACGGTTAGGCTAATATTCTCACTCGCCTAGATCCCACCAGAGGAATTGATCTGGCCGCTCGGATTAATCTCACAGGATTAGAATATTCGCTACGCGCAAGATTCAGGAAATCTCTATCCGAATGACCCCGGCCTCGCATCCGCTCGGCCGCCACGTAACAATAGTATTGGGATGTTCGAAATAAAGAATGATGGGAAATAATATTACAATAAGGAATTGTAGATTCAGTTGATGGGGAATAGGTACAGGACAGGTAAATACAATTTCATTAATATTTAAAAAGTATTTATTAGCCAATGTGAAAAATTATTTATTTACTAAGTCGAGTACTTAGTGTTTTAAAATATTTATATTTTTGTTCGCCGCTACTTCGGCGGCGACCCTGTTACGTCCCGTCCTTCTTGATGGTAAAAAGGCAGAAAAGATTGAAGAGATTACAGGGATATGGAAAAGAAAGGGAAGTTAAGATTCGGGATACCGTCAGATGGTCCTGGGACCAGCTCGTCTAATCAATTTGGACTAAATTTACTTGGGATCTGGTTTAGGATTGACAAGTTGAGAAGCTGCCAGTCGAACTATATGACCGACTGACGATTCGGATTCCGAGTAGGCTAATTCGATATGGGCCAAACGAATTATGAGAAATTGCACCACTAATGCGGAAAAAGAAAATAATGAGCGGTTTGAATTCCTTAATAAAGCATTTATTACGGATAGAATAAAACAATAACGATATAATAGATAATGGTTTAAAAAGAAAGATATTAGTGTTATTAAGGAAAAAATCGTGTAAGGTTATTTCAATTACAAGTATTATACAAGCTTAGTTAGGGAAATAAGATGTAGGCGTACCTGGATTCAATATAATCCACCAATAGAAGAGACTGATCTCTTTAAATCGACACTTGGCTGAGGACGTATTTGGAAAATGGATTCGTCTGAACTGAACTGGAACTGAAACTAAACTGAATTCGCGCTCTTGAGACATGAGCCCTTTTAGAGGGGTTCGTCTTTCCTTTCAATGACCTAATCGATGGAGTGAGATTTCAAAACGTCTAAACATCGATATGTTTAGTTTGATAATCGATTGGTTTGTCATGCTGTCTAAATTGATATCAGTACGCCGTCTTCCGATTTCCCTTTACAGTTTATAAGACCTTAGCCTAAATATGCGAGACGCTCGTGATACAGCTACAACGAGTGACAAAAAAACTCATTAATACTTAAAGCTAGAGATAATTTATCGGGTGGGTTACGTGGGACGTAACACCCCTCTTGCTTTCCCTTCGCGAAGGGTATCGTCCTCTTGCCCGGTTTTCTTGCCATTATGGCTGCGGCTGGGGTTGTTGCGGCTGTTGAGGCCGTTGAAGCCGTTGAGGATGGTGGTTCCTGTTGCTGCCGCCGCTGTCGCTGTAGCCCACGACGCTGCCCCTCTACACGCCGCCGATTACACTGAGATTCTGCAAAGTGTTAAAAATAGTGTCATTCGTTCATTATTTATTAACTAATAAAACATAATTTGGCAACGGTCATACGTACTATTTCGCGATGCATCGACCAGACTTGGCACCAACTCTCACATAGTCGCAAGTTGCTCTTCTAGGGCGTCGATTTTGTTTGCTAGGACGAGGACACCTGCCTCAGAGTTGCCTCCACCACTAGTGGCATTCTCATAGTCAGGGCTGTTACGCTGACTTTCGACTTCCATGTTGGGGTAATGGCCCTGACCAGGAGGAGGCCATGTTCAACTCCTTGTTGCCTTCTCGATTCACTGAATAGGAGTGAAATATTCCTTAATTACATTAATTGGTAAGACAATACCTATCATAACCTAAAATTATGATGCTATCAACATTTGCAGATATTGAAGAGTGATCCTATTTCAAAAAATGTTTAAATTCGAAAAAGAAAGGGGCTTTATATTGCGACGGGAATTCCCATCCCTGGCCGGCAAACAGTCATACGCCCGCTGTACATTAGCGAAAAGGGTGTGAAGCCCGATTATCGGCTCTTCCGGGAGCCCGATTTATTTAGGGCGCCAGGTGCGCGCGCGCATCTCGGGATCCCAGTACCCGGCAGCGCGAGCAAGCCGACTCGGTCCGGTCGACGGGACACCCGGGCGTATCCGACCGGCCACTCAGCCTCGCGAGGATCTTACGCCCTTCGCGGCACGGTAGAGTTGGGGGGTTCGCTATGAAGGAGGCACGAGTGAGGAGGAGTCGATCTCAGAATTCGCCGGTACGACAAAGTCAATGAAATAATAAAATCAAAGTTGCGACAGACAAGCTCTTCGGGAGATTTATTCCGTGCACGGGACCGTACCACGGAAGCCCGTCACAATATCATTCACGACTCAACGCACCGAGTCGAAAAATGGAAAACTAAATCAAGGGACCGGAACATAAACAGGACCAATTCAGCAAAATAAGGTACGCGATCAAGAAAATCGAACTCCCCGGTGGAAGTTCGAAAAGGGCACAACGCCCTAGCGGGAGGACCTTTTACGTGCCCCGTCGGACCTCGGTAAGTGCCCGGTGCCTTCGGTAATTGCGCAACAGGATTCGGCACCGGTTCGCGGTATGGCCCTTCACCTCACACCCACTACGACCGCTTACTAGCAGCCACGGTAATAACGGAACATTTATAACTACGAAAAGGAACCGATACGGGGCGCGATACACTCGAGCGGGTGGGAGTCTCCGCCCGCCGGAATTTCACAATAAAAAAAACTCGAACGCTTTCAGCGGCCA